AGAAATTGTTGTAATGTTTAACATATCCTCCCCTAGATAATTTAACATATCCATCCCTCTGCTAAAGCATATTCTTCCTTATTGTTATTTAGCTAGGTCTCTAACCTGACCTTAAAATCCTCCACAGTTTTTATTTATCCCAACAACCTTTAACTTTCACCATCAATAGACTTTCATAAGATCTTATTTTCTGTAAATATAAAACCTTAAAAATGCTTACCAAGCAAGCAGCATGATAAGTTTAAAAATCTAAGAAACTTTGTAGTGTTTTTCAAATACGATTAATTTGCTTATTTGGAGCTATCTACATCAAAATAATCCTGGGGAGTACTGAGATCATATCAGGTTACCTGCACTGACAATCCTTGCATTGAGTGTCCTTGTCTACAGAATCCAATCAAAAATATGAGTTTTTTTATTCAGTGTATTTGTCTCTAAGTATAGGTTCCCAATGTACCATTTACTCTGCAACTGAGTCGATGAATCACATTAGTTTGGCCTCCAGAACTGGTCAGTGAATCATATTCGTTTGGCTTTCAGAACTGATCATGGTTTTTGTGCGGCATAAACTGAATTTGACTGGTCTTTCCCAGAATGGAGCCAAATAACTATCTGATGGTAGTTTCAGAGGGATTACCTCCTTTACATTGTTACACTCCCAATGATGCCTTTATGCACAATTCAAAGGTTTGTGTTCGACCCCCTCCACACATGCTGAATGGTGGGGATTATGACAAAATAAAATTTGGGCTGTCAAATTTAATACCTCAGGAGCCTTGTGAGTCAATTTCCCCACCCTAAGAGCACAATAACTGGTCAAATATATTCAAAATTCAGATTACTGGGAATATGTATTTTAAGTCCATACTTCCAGGATGAAGTTCAATGTCAGAATGCCACCCCCTGGGACAGTTACTGTACATGTGTGTCAGATTCCCAACTCTTCCCCTGTGAGGTTCTCACTCCTCAGGAAAATATTAATATCTTCCCCAGTTTATTATCGTTTCCTCAGTTTATGTCGATGTTTTCTCTTATGATATACTTTGTATCTTTTTCATCCATGTATATGACTTGTATCTAACATACAGACTATAACAGTAGGGGTAGCAGAAACTAAATACAAGATTTAGTGCTTCATTCCATCAGCAAATCTAGCATAGATGGAATATCAATAAGAAAATGAACTGTTTATCATTCCAAACATCTGTCTATCAAAAGAACTTGGAATAATGTGCCATAAAGTATCTTGAGATGAGAGCGTAGATGTATGGATAGAATATGAAAAAGAATGTAAACATAGTTTTTGCTTAAAATATGTTGTAGGCTGTAGTAGTGTGTGGTCTTTTAACTGACATTGAACTCTTAGTAATGAGCTCCTATTATATCTCAGAGATGGGAAAGTTGTAGATGATAAAAGATTAAAAGTATATCTCATATTAGGACAAGAAAGAACAGGAAGATTATGGTCAGCATCATTGCTTCTAAGTTCTAATATTACTTATGAAGATACATCTTTGACAAGTATCGACACATCTGAGCATAGCCTATCATAACAAAAGGCAGATCAGTGATCACAGATTGTCGTGTCCTTCGGGACGGTGACACATTTAATGAAAAATGTACTCAAATTTTGTTCGTTTTTTATCTCCTATCACACTCTATGATTTGAAAATTGATCAAATAATATTCGCAATAAAAATGTTGCCAGGATACTAATAATCTGCCGATTACAAAGAAGGGAAACAAAACCTAATCAATATCTAACCTTTATCTGCTCATCAGTGTCTTACTTGTTAGAAATCATATAGAATTTGTATGAGGGTTCACTCTCTGGGTGTCTTATTTTTGTCATCTTGGTTGACATCACTTGCAACATTATTTGAGTGGGATGCGCTGGGTATCTATTATTCAGACCCTGACTGTCATATCTTCCATATATATTTGTATTGGTTAATGATAAATGGGGCTGTTATGAATGGTTAACAGCCCAGGGTGTCCTTAGACAATTTTTTTCTTTTGACTTTTAATTAGCTAAAACCTCATCTTGTTATTGGATTTCGAAAATGAGATATTCGGTCGGATTTATCGCATTTATTTGCCGTAAAATAACACTTGAGGAGCGATCAGGTTATTGTTGCAAAAATATGATGTCTTTCTTCAGTCCCTGATGTTTTCCCTTAAATAAGATCACGATGGTTATGTTTTGAAATGTGAAATAGAAACAAGAAGATGAGAAATAGAAATTAATGATGCATATAAGCATGAAATGAAAGAAAAGTTTATAAAATATAGAGAGAAATAACATGGAAAATGCATGAACTATGAGATTTTTAGATACAGATTCGGTCTTTTGTTGATAGGTTGATAAATGCAGTGATGCATTATGGGACAGGTTAAACTATTGTAGAAATGTAAATCAACAACTTTTGACGTCATTAATAGAATTAATCTATTATTGGAGACACTAGATTAATTGATTGTAAATATGTGTATATTGTTGTGTATATTTTGATATTGTAATCTGAATGTGAACTTTATACCCTTTCATTAAGTGTTGACTTGATTTTTTGTATTGAAATACATCTGTAATACCAATGAAGTAATTCTTGTATAAATACCACCATAACTAATGAATAAGTCACAGTATTGTTGTGTTAAATGCGTTCTGTAGCCAACTTCCATGAGTAAGGGTTGATGAAAATATATATATGTTTTTAGTTGCTTTCAGGTAGATCATATTATTAAAATACGTGAAAACACATCCTTCCGACATGTCAATTATTATATGTCTTACGGGATTTTGAAAAGCAATGGCATTAGAGTACTTCAACAGGAGAACATGTCATCCTTGGCCCAAGAGTAATTCATTGCATTACATTCATGATCTGCTATGAAAGCAGTGAATGACCGATCTTGAAGGATGGAACATGTATATGGCAAGCACATTTTGTACCAACAGGATTGCGTGTTGCATTGAGGATTACCAACAAGAGTAGATACAATAGATGCTTGACTAAGTTTTTCTCTTAGAATTGTCTATACTTTTCAAAGAAATGTTAAGGGTTCATTAAGAAATTGATTAACTTATGAAATTGACATTTGTTGTCACATACTATAACTGCTGAGGTGTCATCCTCCATAGCAGGTGTTTAGAATCCATTCCTCCTTCCTTGAGAGGAACAAATGGAAAATCCCTGCTCTTGGAGAATGCTGAGGTGTTTGATGGAGGTGTTCTAACTTGTAGAATTGTTCAACTTGCTATAGGTGTTCTTCATAAAGGGTTTAACTGTATGGAATAAATATTGTACTCATTGAATCCAACACATGAATAAAGATTTCAAATGAACAATTTAAAGTTTTGGTTTGTTGGTCTACATGTCGAAATTCCACTTTAACCAGGTCATTATTTATATCATTCCAGCAAACAAAGAAATACTTGATTCACATTTATCATTGGGGAAGACATTATCTGAGATAAAGCCACAATATTTGGTTTGATGTTCCTGGGCATAAATGTAAACGCATTGTGGTCATGATTTTATTCACAAAATACAGAATCAAAGCATGGAATGGTCAATGAATAAATTGTTCAGGCTTGAAGTACATAAGTTTAATTGTTCAAAAATGCAAGAAAGTCTACCAGTTTGATTGAAATTTACAGAGAAATGGTGTAAAATAGGCATGATCTGATTGCTATTTGAGAAAGGGTTGTGATGATTCGTCACTCAGGACCAAAATATGTCACAGTGTTCCAGCATGTCATCTCTTTGGATTGATTTAATAGTAAAGAGGGAGAAAGGGGGACTTGTAATGTTGATCTTTACAAAAGACTTGACACATCTGAACTAAAGAGGGTAATCTAACTTTTCTGCAACCTCTAATATACTTAATGTTTATACATATACAGTAAAATTTGTATAAGTAGAACACATTTTGAAAAAGTGTTTCACTTAAAGGGAGGTATCCTATTACACAGGTTGATCAAAATTAAACTAAGGGTTCATTATTTCTTCCATGAGATTTTAAAAACTGTTCTACTACTATATAGGTTAAACCTGTCTTATCGAACACCTCTCTCGATTCTATAAAAACCTTGTCCTTAATAAATACCATTTCACAAAACATACTTTATTGACGGTATGAAAAATCTTTGTAGTGAACAGATATAATGCTATAATGAGCACTTGTAGCTAAAGGTGTTCAATATACAGGTTTTACTGGAGTACTTGTGAGTGGGTGATTGAAGTTTTTTCAATAAACTTTTACTGGGCCTTTGGGAAAACTAGTTTTTTGTACTGATAATATATAATGTACCCAGATACACGTATATAGTTTTCAAATCAAATATATATACAGTATATCAGGTTTTGCTGTAGTTCTTATGAATGGCTTGTTTATATATTTTCAATGTGATGCTATATATTAGTTCTACGTATTATTATGTTATTATAGAGTGTTTTATTGATAATACCTGATAAAGCTCAAGATGTTCCTAAAATATATTTTGATTATCTTTTAAGTGTTTAACAAAAGTGTTTAATATAAAAACAAAATAAAGTCCTTCTTAATCTTGAAATGGTTTAGGAATCAAGAACCATGTAAACTCATTCAGACTTATTATCATTCACTTTCAATTCATTGATGTACTAGATATTCATAAAAATAGATATTGATGTTTTTTACAAGAACAGTACACAGCCCTAAAAATGTTCAGAATTCCGTATCAGTCCTTTATGACATCATCATTTCTTATGTTGTCTCATGACATCATTCATGTACGATCCAGCTGGGGCATTCTTGTACTTTCCATTATTCACCTTATCATACTGCATTGATTTCAATATCAAACTTAAAGTTATCTCATTAAAATCATGGTACACCTTTTTCCAAAATAGGTGTACCATTCCAAAATAGCAGAGATTGTCCATTTTAAGGGGTATGTGCAGTGAGGATTAAAATATTAAAACTAATCAAAAATATTTTATTTTGTATGATTTCAGATAATAATCCATATGATGCTTTGCAAAGTTCTTGGGATACTCCGTACTGCCGACAATTTTTACAACTTACAAGACACATTATCGACATACCAAAGTTTAGCATACAAGTAAGTCGGTACCATAGTCTAGTGTACAATATGAAATAATAACCCCTTCATCAGCTTAAAAAAAGCATATCAGTTCGAGACATTTCAAGTTGCACTGTAGAATATTGAGTGAAATATCTGTATTGTTTAGCATTATGTATAAAAACATGAGAGATGAGAAAAATACAAGAAATAAAATAAACATTAAGGCGGGAATTTTTGAATAAACAATTTGTTTAAGAAAGAGGACGTAGGAGCAGAAATTGAGAAATTTCATTGCTTACAATCTTTTTGTAACTTAAGCAGTATTTTTGTGGATACATTGTCAATGTCTGGATATTAAAAGGACCCCAGGAATTATCACTCATCCCACATGATGACATTCATTTTGTGTGTTTATATATCGTCATTATATACATGTAGTATATTGTTATTTCATTGTCTATAGGGTGTCATAACAACCGCATATCTTTTTTACAGGAGTTTGAATTTGCGCTGAAAGAGTTTGACGATATCCTTATAAACTATATATTCACACAACTTCTACGATTTTTAGATGAGGTGAAATCACCTATACTGTAAGTAGTATAAAAGGTAATGTACAAATCAATGTTCATATAAATGTTGTCATATTGTTGTCTGTATTATAATATAACAGTTGATTAGAGGTAGATTGATAGTAACACACATCACATGCTTTTTTAATTCAATGAATGCTGAGTTGTACTTGGATTACAGGACCCGTTATACTGTGTGATGATTCTCTGATGATAACATTTAACAATGAGATCAGAGTAGCACATGATATGATTGGGGCCTATAACCCATTTGATTCCAGCCATAAATATGTAATAGTATCAACATGCATGTCTCTTTTTCATCTATGTCTTGAACATAGCCACATTTACATACTAGGTGCATTGCATGTGTAGTAGAGGATATATTAGTATAGTCAATTAATTAGTTTAGATTTCCATATAATCATTTAGATTTATGCATGAGGTTTACTGAAATTTCATATTTTGAATCAGAAAATGATGTTTATTAGATTATAAAATATCCTATCTTATAACTTGATAATTTTTTTTTAATTTTTTTATATTATTAATAGAATTTATGAAAATGAAAATAAAAACAACAGAAAGATCATTATTTGGACATTTTGGAAGATTTGAAGACATAATGTTTATTTATTGTTTGAATATACATCTATAAAGTAAAAAATGATTGTTTTATTTCCCAATGCTGTAACATATTTGTTTATCTTACAGGAAATGAGAGGCTGAGGACAGATTCTTGTCACGGGAGATACCAACTGTTTTTTTTCTATTTATGCTAGTCGATATGTGAATTCTGCGTGGAATAAGGGATAATGTCCACAACGATCGGAAAGAACAATATTTCATTTGGTTCCCATCCTCTCATATAATGGAATATTACAATGTATGAAAAATCAGCTCTCATCACTAATAAAATCATCATTGATGATCCTTCCTAATTCAGTTAACCAAATCCACAACTGTTGATATTTTGACATCATCCCTCAAGAACAGGGAAAAGATAGAATATACATGGCCCACATAACACAGAGTCTTCCCAGAATTAGAGTTAGAGCAAGTGGATGCAGCACCCATCTGAAATTTTAAAAACAGGCTTGCACCCACCTGAGAATCCACTTGCATCCACTTGAAAATGACAAAAATCTTGAAAATGGGGTTATTTTGACCAATTTTGGTCTTCATTGTGAAAATGAAAATTTTGCACCCACTTGAGAAAATATCCTTAGCAGAACACAGTGACATATTATTTCTTTCATCATATTGAAACATTTATGAGGCAAAGATATTTGTTCAATCATTTATACCAGTAAGGTGAACTATGTTTGGTGTCTGTTAAAAGAGGGCATTGATTTGTCACTTTTCATTCACTTCATAACAATTCTTTTTATTATTGATTTTTAGAGGTCAGTATGAAGATGGACATGCACTGTTCTTGATAGTTGAAGCTAATATCAATTTTAATTGACTATTATTTGTGGGATTTCAGGATCTGTTCCAGGTTTCAATCTACGTTCTTCCAAATTTGGTGTGTCTGAAATCAAAGCATTTATCCACCATCTCCCCATCTCCATTTGTCTCCTAGCAACCAGATGCTGCAAACAATTAAGAATTTGACCCAGATTATCAATTTGAAATTCTAGAGATTTGAGTAAACATTGAAAGAGTGTGTGATGTATGTTATAGATGACAATAAACATGTATGATTCTTTTTTCAGACTATCCAACTTTGACATTGTGCTGGGAGAGCTCCTAGCTAAAGAGAACCCGCGTAATAACCAGCTTCATCGTTGCAAGTTCAAACATCTTCGTGGCGATGAAAAGGTAATTAATGCAAGCTTAAAAATGTTTGAAATATTCACAGGTTGAATTTGGTGTCCATTTTTAACAAAAGGGTAAAATAACCAAAACAATGGGCAAAATTGTTGGAAATTATTATTTTTTTGTGGCTGTTGTTTGGTGATCAGAATCTGTAGAAGCAATTGGGATCTATAACAAATGGCAGGTGGTGACATTTTGCATGTTAATGCCTTGTTTAACAGTTGCCAACAGTTGATACCTTTTGAGTAAATCTTGTTTGACATGACAAGACCTGAGACTATCTCTAAATACTTGCAATGGCATCATTGTTTGGCAAGTAAATATAGAATGAGGTTACCTGGAGATTTAGTGTAAATTTTTAAATCAGATTTATTTATCAATTACATTTTCAATGGTGAATGACAATGTTCTACATTAACCTGAAGGTAATTTGGAGAAATGGGGAGTTACTACTCTGTTTGAGTATTAAAATTCTGCAAATCATTTTTACCAGAATGTTTCCTTTTCATTTCAGGTCCAGATTTTAAGATGGCTTGTAGATTATGTGTTTGACAAAAAGGCTGATGAACTTGAAGAATATTTTGACGATAATTTCCATCCAAATGACCTTGTAAGTAGACCAATTTCTTTTTATCACACTACTTCTGGTAGAATGTTGCTTACCTTGAAAGATACACTCGAAATGAAATGTCTGTATGGCTCTTACTCAGAGTTTAGTTCTGAATTGATGCAATGCTTAAATTTGGTCAATACTGGATCAGTGGTGATGTCAGAAAAAATGACCACATTTAGAAAAAATGATCTTTCTGGCAATGACGAGCTCTGGTTGGTTCTGTGAGTTTCATGGTTTGTTTTTTAAAGAGTGAATATGAAGCTCTCTTTTAAGAAGCTCAAACGAATGCAAAGGTCACCTGTAGGGCTCAAACTCAATGATTACATTAAAACAATCACAAAATGAAACATCTGCATTGTGCCAGCTAAATGCTTGCAATCTTACAATCACAAAAAGTCTACAAGACTAACACATTGACATTAATTATCGTCATTTGATTAATGTATGAACTTTTGAGAGTTTAATTATTTGAGGCTATCTGGCCTATTACTCTGTTGATATATACTTGTCAAGTTGGCACCCGCTCAATTAATTCAAGAATCAGAAAGAATTTGAAGGCACACATTATAGAAACCAAATTAATTCATAGCTGATAAGGTGATTTAAAAAATTGAGAACTTAGTTCATAATAAGAAAAAAGTGGGCAATGCTGGCATAATTATTTGCAGAATGTCTCATTTGGAGGTGTTCTTTTAAATAATAAAATGGCTTGATTATAGAATTTTTTGGGTTGTGATATGTATCCCAGAAAAATACCTTATTTTTACCACGGGTAGATTGAACCATTTGGAAGGGTCCAAAACGAGTGCTGAGATTTGGTATGATATTTATCACGGGAAGTCCCATAACTTTGTCTAATATTTAATGCAGAGAATAAATCATGAGTCAGTTGGAAGATACGAGGATTTATGGTTTGATGGTTCTTTGAGAGGTTTAAGGTCAAAATGAGCAATGTTTCATCAGAATCAGGCAAATAAGTCCATCAGGTCAGAAAATCACACCACTTAATACAAGTTAATAGAGCCCATGTCAGGCATCAATGTTTCATTTTAACGCACCAAAAGTAATTCCATTTTGGGTAGGGATTAAAAGCACATTGCTTAAAAAGTATTGATAACAATGCTGATTTATGTCTATAGAAGGACTGATGATACATTGATCGTCTGTTTTATGGTTCTAATAAGCCTTTACTTTCTAATGCATTATGGGTATCTTATGTCATGGTCTTTCATGCCTTTTTCAATAAAATGCAGTTATTCTTTTGTGTATCTCCATTTTGGTTTCACTCTATTTTCCATACCCTGTCTGCAGAGTCTAGTTAAACTTCACTCTGCCTAGTAGAGACCATATTACAGTTTAGTAGCCCCGCCCCCACGACGGGTACCAGTGACAGTTTGGGTAATAAATCACTTCTTACCTACGCGCTGACCTTTCTTCCACCAATCAGCGAGGTTGAAGAAACATACGCCAAATATGTTCTGATTAAATATGCGCATGTCATTGGTCAATTCCGGGCTCAACGATGACGTTAGAAGGAATGACCATATATAGAATGTCGGTCAAATTTGACCGACGAACACCGATTGGCGCGGTGAGTTCACAGGTTTATTATCCCATCGAACGAAGTTCGGAGGGATATAGGGAACGCCTCCGTCCGTCCGTCCGTCCGTCCGTCCGTACGTACGTCCGTACGTACGTCCGTCCGTCCGTCCGTCCGTCTGTCCGTCCGTCCGTCCGGGCAATAACTCAAATACCGATGGCCCGATTTTGTTCATATTTCGTACACATATACCCTATGGGGGTAGAAGTTCTGCTCGAAAGCCGATTTTCAAAATGGCCGCTCATTTCAAAATGGCGGCCATTTTAGTGACGATTTTACAGTAATTTAGGTGCAATATGTAAAACTGTAATAGCAATATGTTTTAAATGTAAAAAAAGTATAAAGGACATTAATAATGCTACAAATGTAGATATTAAAAAGCACATGGCAGCCATCTTGAAAAATGGCGGCCTTTACTCGTCATTTTACGATTTTTGCTGTAACTCAAAAAATAGTGGAGCGATTTTGTTCATATTTGGTGTGTGAATACTATAAGCATTGCACACTGTCTAAAGACACTTTTGGTAGAAGGCGGCCATTTTTCAAAATGGCCGCCATTTTAACGTATTTTACTATAACTTGAAAAGTAGTGGAGCGATTTTGTTCATATTTGGTATGTGAATACTATAAGCATGGCACACTGTCCTATGACACTTTTGGTAGAAGGCGGCCATTTTGAAAACAATTTTGAAAAATGGCCACCATTTTAATGTATTTTACTATAATCGAAAAGTAGTGGAGCAATTTTGTTCATATTTGGTATGTGAATACTATAAGCATGGCACACTGTCCTATGACACTTTTGGTAGAAGGTGGCCATTTTGAAAACAATTTTGAAAAATGGCCGCCATTTTAACGTATTTTACTATAACTCGAAAAGTAGTGGAGCGATTTTGTTCATATTTGATATGTGAATACTTTAAGCATGGCACATTGTCTAATAAAACTTTGGGGAGTAGTCAGACATTTTGAAAAATGGCCACCATTTTTACGTGTGCGATTTTTCAAAAAATTTTAGAGGTGGCTACTTAAAAGCATATTATTTCTTCTGATGACAACTTGGCTAGTGAGCAACCATTTTGAAAATGGTGGCCTTTCTGGTGTGTTGTTTTATGATATTTGCGCTTCGTTTGTAAAAATGCCAGCCATTTCTGTTCGATGGGATTCGCTACGCTTTGGCGTTGCCGTTGTTCTGGTTTTAGTTTGAAAGAGTGAAGACGAAGCTCTCTTTTAAGAAGTGAAGTCAAACGAATGCAAAGGGTATATATTTTCCACGATCACTGACATTGTTTCATTGGCATATCAATTTTGACAGAATTTATTTATTATTAACATATTGTCATTTGTATATTTTTGCACTTAGACTGCAGGTTTTGCACTTAGACTGCAGGTTTTGAAATTCCAGTTCACGGTTAATTAAGATAAATGATAATTACAAATCTTCTCAATTCATGTTTTACAATCCTTTTTTTGGTCGGCGAGAGTTAAAAATTTGCTGGTGAATTTTGTTCTCAAACATAATTATGACAAATCACAGCCTGAATGTTACCTTTTGGGTATTTATCAGTCTAGTGTGGAGATATATCTGTTTCATCATTTGTCATTGTTGTTGCTCGGAAAATGATAGCTTGTAGAGGAGAATAATAGCTTGTAGAGGAGAATAATAGCTTGTAGAGGAGAATAATAGCTTTTAGAGGAGAATAATAGCTTGTAGAGGAGTATAATAGCTTGTAGAGGAGAATAAAAGCTTGTAGAGGAGAATAATAGCTTGTAGAGGATAATAATAGCTTGTAGAGGAGAATAATAGCTTGTAGAGGAGAATAGTAGCTTGTAGAGGAGAATAATAGCTTGTAGAGGAGAATAATAGCTTGTCGAGAATAATAGCTTTTTACAGGAGAATAATAGCTTGTAGAGGAGAATAATAGCTTGTAGAGGAGAATAATAGCTTGTAGAGGAGAATAGTAGCTTGTAGAGGAGAATAATAGCTCGTAGAGGAGAATAAAAGCTTGTAGAGGAGAATGATAGCTTGTCGAGGAGAATAATAGCTTTGTAGAGGAGAATAATAGCTTGTAGAGGAGAATAATAGCTTGTCGAGGAGAATAATAGCTTTTAGAGGAGAATGAAAGCTCGTAGAGGAGAATAATAGCTCGTAGAGGAGAACAATAGATTTTAGAGGAGAATAATAGCTTGTAGAGGAGAATAATAGCTTTGTAGAGGAGAATAATAGCTTGTAGAGGAGAATAATAGCTTTTAGAGGAGAATGATAGCTCGTAGAGGAGAATAAAAGCTTGTAGAGGAGAATGATAGCTTGTCAGGGAGAATAATAGCTTGTAGAGGAGAATAATAGCTTGTAGAGGAGAATAATAGCTTTTAGAGGAGAATGATAGCTTGTAGAGGAGAATAATAGCTTGTAGAGGAGAATAATAGCTCGTAGAGGAGAATAATAGCTTGTAGAGGAGAATAATAGCTTGTAGAGGAGAATAATAGCTTTTAGAGGAGAATGATAGCTCGTAGAGGAGAATAATAGCTCGTAGAGGAGAACAATAGCTTGTAGAGGAGTATAATAGCTTGTAGAGGAGAATAATAGCTTGTAGAGAATAATAGCTTGTAGAGGAGAATAATAGCTTTTAGAGGAGAATAATAGCTTGTAGAGGAGAATAATAGCTCGTAGAGGAGAACAATAGATTTTAGAGGAGAATAATAGCTTGTAGAGGAGAATAATAGCTTGTAGAGGAGAATAATAGCTCGTAGAGGAGAATAATAGCTTGTAGAGGAGAATAATAGCTTGTCGAGGAGAATAATAGCTCGTAGAGGATAATAAAAGCTCGTAGAGGAGAATAATAGCTTGTAGAGGAGAATAATAGCTTTTAGAGGAGAATAATAGCTTGTAGAGGAGAATAATAGCTTTTAGAGGAGAATGATAGCTCGTAGAGGAGAATAATAGCTTGTAGAGGAGAATAATAGCTTGTAGAGGAGAATAATAGCTCGTAGAGGAGAATAATAGCTTTTAGAGGAGAATAATAGCTTGTAGAGGAGAATAATAGCTTGTAGAGGAGAATAATAGCTCGTAGAGGAGAATAATAGCTTTTAGAGGAGAATAATAGCTTGTAGAGGAGAATAATAGCTCGTAGAGGAGAACAATAGATTTTAGAGGAGAATAATAGCTTGTAGAGGAGAATAATAGCTTGTAGAGGAGAATAATAGCTTGCGGAGGAAAATAATAGCTTGTAGAGGAGAACAATAGATTTTAGAGGAGAATAATAGCTTGTAGAGGAGAATAATAGCTTGTAGAGGAGAATAATAGCTTATCGAGGAGAATAATAGCTTGTAGAGGAGAATTATAGCTTTTAGAGGAGAATAATAGCTTGTAGAGGAGAATAATAGCTTGTAGAGGAGA